TAACGGCGTACCATAAGCACCCTCCCCCCCATGGCTGGGCTCAGAAAAAAATTACTCCAATCCTGGACTTTTGCATCATTACCAAGCCTCTTAACAAAGTTATCTAGCCCCCTGATCATGATTTCAGCAGTTTCCAGTATTCTAAGGAGCGATCAGAAGTACCAGTATGCTTGAAATTATTTTGACCCCACCCGTAATTCATGAAAATGAAGGAAAACACCACCACCACCACCACCACCACCACCACCGCAAAAAAGGGGTGTGGCCAAAATTGTGAGTGCTTCGAAGCGCACCCTCAGCGCCTTCCTTTTCCAGTTTCTAGATACGCCCCTGGGGTAGGTATTATGCCATACCCATTCTAAGGTACCACTGTCACTATACTAGCCTGATTTTATCTATGGTTTTATTATACTGAATCAATAATTGAACTACTTATAAATAACTTTGTTATGAAAAGTTTAACCTCATATGTGTTTATCCATTATTTGAAATATTTGAGAAGGAGTCAGTCAGCTTGAAGCATCGTTGATCACTCATGTAACAGATGTTACTAATCAAAGCAGCACATTCTACTGCTTACTGATCCAGACACCCATATCAAGAGTATGAGAAGAATTTAAGTATAGCTTCGTGATTTGGTATAGTAAAATTATTTGTCACAGGCTATCAAGCTGTTTTTTATTAATTATTATTTTGTTGTTGACCATGTTGCATATGTATGTTATAATAATATGCGTACACAATTTAATATAATATACATACACAATTTAATATCATTATGTATGTATCATAGATAGTAGGCATTCTTTCTAGTACCATAATATCATAGTATTATAATACTTGATTGATCAAAATTATTTCCTCATATAACAGAAGCTATGTAAGTATTACTAATCAAAGCAATACACATTGTTCTGTTTATTCATTCAGGTACCTATATTTTTCAGAAAATTGAGTAGAACTTGCAGAATTTTAAGTATATATAGCTCTGTGATTGGCTTAGTTAGCTGTCAAGCTGTTGCATATCATTTTTGATCATGTTTGGAGCATCCATGAATGATAAATATTTTTTTTAGAAAGACATACTGTTGCAATCAGCAGAGGATGGGGATCAGAAGCGTGTATTAAAGGCCCTTGAAGCTAATGCTGATATCAAATGTATCAATGAAGTCAGTAACTTACTGCTACTATGTTGAATAGTATCATATAAAATGTATTTTTATGATAGAGTAATGAGACGCCTTTACATTTAGCAGCAAAAAAAGGACATTTTGAAATAGTTGAAATATTACTTGCTAAAGGTGCCAATGTTACATACAATTTTATTGACAAGGTAATAGATAATCCCTAAATTATATTTTTGAGTATGACATATGATAAGCAAATTATTTTGTGTGAATAAAACTAAAAGTTGTTAGCAAGATCTGATCACTAATAAACAATTTAAGTTTATCATTGAATAACAATCAGAACTCATGAATTGTCTAGTTGCACAAAAATCAGCCAAGACAACAATAATTATTCATAATGTTTACACAAACTATTTTAGGCATTATTTAATAATGCTTCATGTTAATTACATTCCTTCAACACTCCCACTTACCTTAGGGTGAGTGTACTTAAAAATTCTAATTCAACCAACCACTAATAATAGTTGTAATGTACTTGTGTAAACAAGTACACAAGAGAGGAATGATCTGTAACAAGATAAGTTATCCTTTTAAGTGTTCTGTTCTTAAATGGAATTTTGGGCTTCTTAAGTTGTGTTATGTTTTTAAATGGGAGTTTCACTATTGATTTTTTTCCGGGCTATTTTTGCTTCACTAAATCAAGGTCCCCTTGAAAACGCTAGAAATTTAAGAGTGCAATTAATACACACCCTAAAGGTACCGTATATCGGGTATATTTCAATGCATTAATAATTTCGGAAAAAGCAATCTATTGCGAAAATAAATATTATGAAATTTTAAAATATGCGGATAAAAAGGATAGAAGATATGTGGTATTGTACAATTATTAATTTATTATGAACACGTGGCTTCATAACTATCCATGGCTTCATTCTAGTCTAACTCGAAGGCCATAAAGAGCCTTCTTTGCCAGTTAGAAGTGTTGCTAAGGTTGATTCAGAAGTAGAGAAGTCAGCAAATGCTTCGAATGACTTACCAAACCAGGTGGTTGATGGAAATAATAGCAAGTAAAATATTTTCGGAATATAAAAGGCTTCCGAATTATTCCATTATTGAACTTAATATTTCCACAACTTTTCATGCATTGAAATATACCCGATATACGGTAATTTACATTGCGTAAGCTGTTATTTAATTAACTCCTGTAGTCTCATCTTTTTGTAGTTTCTCAAATTTCTCACGAGCTAGTGGTTTTGTAAGTATGTATGCAAGCATTTCTTCTGTTGGATGGTATTCCAAATGTTGTATTGCCTCACGAATGTAATGGTATTTAACGTCTGTGTTTTGTTTGTGAATAATAGACTGGGTTTTTGGCAGTAGTGATTGCTCCCTGGTTGTCTTTTCTGATAGTTAAGATCTTTGAGTAACCTTCTTAACCAGATCGTTTCCTATGTAATGTTGCAGCACTTAGAGATATATACTCTGCTTTAGCAGTAGATAATGCCACTGCTGGTTGCTTCTTGCTGTACCAGCTTACTGCACCATTAGACAGTAAATATAATGCCAGCTGATTGTTATATATAATGTTTATATAATGTTATATATAATGTGAATACCTGGTATGCTGTTTTGATAAAGAAGAATTCTCTTAGCAGCAGTTAGGTGTGTTTTTGTAGGACATAAACAATATTTTGATGCTACTCCTACTGCTTGAGATATGTCGGGCCTTGTTGCAATAGCAAAGTATAGTAGACTTCTACTATTGATTAGTAGAGTGCTGGGTCAGCTAGCTTCTTGAACTCATCATCCTTTTTCATTCTGACAGAGAAGTTAGCTGGTGCACACTCCTAGCTTCTGATAATCCAAACCTTTTCAACATATACTATGTATATGTATCTAATGTAACAACAGAAATCCTTTTCCTCATCATGATTCCAAGACAATGTAGCTTCCCCAGGCCCTTCATCTTATACCTCTGCATCAACATAATGTAACAATAACTAACTCATTTACACTTCCTGTTTTGATAAATATACATAGATCTGCTGTACTCTGGGTGAAATTGATGGATTTCATAGGCTCTTTGAATACTTTATTGCAACATTGAGGATACTGCTTTAGATTATAAAGGGTTTTGTGCCACAAGTCAATTATCTGTGATTTATTCTTGAGCTTGCAACTTAGCATTTACAGTTTTTTCTTCAGATAACCCATACCAAAAAATTTTCCATTTTTTTATATTTTATACAGCATTTTCCTCTTCCAAATTTAATGCTCACTTTGATGTGAGCTAAAATCTCCGTTTTGCTTTCTTTCTTCATGTACCTTTGGCTAGCAGCAAGTGTTTTATCTGGAACTTCCAGGCAGACCAGTTGGCTCCTTCAAATTTCTCTATTGACCATTTTGCTTCTGCTTCAACCATCACTATAATGGATCTATAGATACGTAGAATTATCTTCAGGACTTCTTGACACTTTAATATAGTTCTCTTTTTTCAGCTCAGTATGCTGGGCTCATAACCTGTTAGCACGATCTTATCACCAATAAACAACTTAACAGTTTATAATAACTTAACAGTTTATCATTGAATAGCACAAAAGAATAATCAGAACTCAGAACTTATAAAATAGTTGCACAAAAATCAGGTTAAATAGACAAGACAACAATATTCATAATCTTTACACTAATTACCACAAAATCGTCTATTTTCAATAACTACATGTAAATTACATTCCTTCAACAAAAGTTCTAATCATTCTGTAAATAAAATTTCAAAATGCAAATTCTGCAAATTTGGAATCCTTAAAAATTACTCATTTATTGGTTTGTGCAAGCTTAAAAGTTAGAGCACTTTAAATTGTGTTAGAAATAATTTTACAAGCCATTTGTCTTACCATAATAATAATCACAAATTTTATAAACTCACAATCAATTCTGTACCATTTCGACTTAAATTACATTTTATTACAGAACAAGTGGACTCCACTTGATGTTGCAGTTAAAGAAGGCCATGAAAAAATAGCTAAACTATTAGTTGAGAAAAAATGCTCTGTGACAAATGTAAGTAATCTAGAGTATGTACTAGAAATAAATGCACCTTATAGACTGCAATGAAATTTGCTACTCAAGCTGGTCTTATTTCTACTATTAAATTTGTGATTGAGAACAATGATATTGACCCAGCTGAGTTTGTTGATGAGGATGTAAGTCAAAATATGCTGTCTAAAACTTTATTTTTGTGTGCCCCATATAGGATGGAAAAACACTCTTACATCATGCAGCAGAATATGGACACACGGATATTGTTGAACTTTTGCTTAATGGAAAAAGAGTTGATGCTAACTGCAAAGACTTTGTATGTGAAATAAAGTATTCAATTGTAATGGTGTATTTTTGTATATAGCTCCGCACTAGACCAATTCATTTAGCTGTTAAAAAAGGCAATATTACTATTGTTCAGATGCTAGTGGATCATAATGCTGATGTAAATTGCAAAGATTTGGTGAGTTATTAGAATGCATATCCACTAGTTATTATCATGTTTTAGGATGGTATGACACCATTACATTATGGTTTTAAAAGTAAAAATAAATCTGTTGTTGAACATTTACTTCAAAATTGTGAAGCTAATCCTGATACATGTATTTGTGAAAAAGTTAGTTAGCTTCTTCAATTTTGTCTGCCTGAGCTTATAACTACATGTATATAGGACAACAGAACAATTTTACACTTTGCTATAGATATCATTGTAAGTTTTGTTATTATCACACTATAATTATTTAGTTTGATTCACCACTTTTAAATCACACTCTGCACGTGAATGTTCTAATTATTGCCATAAACTGCTATTAATAAGCAAGGAACCCATGCATTTTGTTGCTCTTTCTGTAGCATTGTTTTCAGAATCAACTGAACAAGGAAAATTCAGAAGATGAAGAAGTATATAATTAGTCAATTGTCTTTTTATTTGTAAACACTGCACAGGACAAATTCATTAGTATATTTGAGGTGATTGCAAAAAAAACTGATGTCAACATTAAAGATAAGGTATTTGCTATGCATAGTTTATTTATGCATGAGCATATACATTACTGTGTATACGCCGACTTGATTCATCTGTTAAAGTTTATAATTTAGGATGGTAATACACCGCTACTATGTGCAGTTCTTGTATGTTCTGAGAGGCTGGTGACTATACTCTTGGAAAACAAAGCTAATCCTAATATCAGGAACAATGTAAGATAATGCATAAAACTGATTTATTTTGCCATAAAATATTCATTTTTTTTCTTTTTTTTCATTTGATTGCTCAAAATTTATGCTAATAGGAAGGACATACAGCTCTTCAGTATGCTGTGAGTCAGGGAAATTTTACTATCCTAACACTTTTACTGGATTATAATGCAGACCTAAATGCAAGAATGACAGTTAGTTGTGCAATAAAAATTCATTCATTTTTACTATGTTAATTTTAGGAAAAAAAAGAACGTTTTAAAACTGACCCAATGTCAAGAGTTAAGGTGTAGTTTTTAATCTTATAATTACTATAAATTATTGCAATATTAGATGGATGAAACAGCTCTGCACTTTGTCGTTAGGCTAAAATTTTCAAGTGACTTTTATAAGCTCCTTTTAAACAGAGGGGCTGATCTAAAAATTCGTGATGCAGTAAGTGATGCTTTTCATTACATTTCTATCAGTCATGTAATCAATTGCAGTTAGAAATTAAATTTTTACAATTATGCAGGATGGGTATACTGCTTTATATTATGCAGCAAAAAATAAAAATTATGATTTGGTAAAAGACATGAATGTTAAAGGAGCTGACACTAAAGTGAAAGATATGGTAAGCACATCAAATAAAGCCCTATAAATATTGTGCTCATCTAGAATGGTTTGACACTTTTGCATCATGCTGCAATAATGAATAGCAAACGCCTGACTGAAATAGTACTTGCAAACAAAAAATTTGATGTAAATATGGCGTGCAAGGTGACACAATTTTTTAGTTAATTATGATTTAGCAATCATGCAGAAAGGAAATTCAGCATTGCATTATGCTTTAATGAAGAAAAGTGAAGATGAGGAAGATGGTGAATATTCTAATGAAAATGAAAGTGTTTGCTCATTACTTATTGGCAGAGGGGCTCACATTAATTGCAGGAATCAACAGGTAACTTAATGTCATCACAATTTAAAACATTATAATAAATTATGAAAAGGATGGAATGACTCCACTATTGTATGCAGTATTTAAAAAGTACAAGAAAGTTGCTGCAACCATAATTGAAGCATCAAAACAACAAAGTATTGAAAAAATTATTATTCAAGCAACAAACAAGGTATAAGCATAAAGAATAATTATCAGCACTGATTATTTCAATTAATCCTTTTATTTATAGAGAAAGATGACTGCTTTGCATATTGCGATAAGTAATAAAGATGAAGATATGCTAAATCTACTATTGCAGAGTGACTATGTTTTAAATGAACCTGATGAGGTGATTTCATAAAGTTTCTGCTTATGTTAATAATGATAATTTCTAGGATGGTATGTCTCCTTTGCATTACGGCTCATTACATGGTTTTATGACTGATAAATTTGTTCAGCACAAAAATTTTAAAAATTGTTTGAATTACCAAAATGAGGTTTTCTACAAGATGCATACTTAGTTAGCAACAAATTAATTGTGTTCTTTCTAGATCACTGGAAAAACAGCTTTGCATTATGCTGTTGAATGTAACCATAAAGATGTAGTAACCATACTGCTTGATGAAGGAGCAAATTTATTTCTTGAGGATAAGGCACATTCCTGTAGCATTTACTTTTATTAATTTCCTATTATAGGAAGGTCATAGTTCACTGTATTATGCCATTAAGAACAAATTTGAATCAATCATTGATGTATTTTTTTGTCACGCATCAAAGGTTAGTGTCATGTACTTAATGTATTATTTCTTTGTAATACAACAGCATTGTGATGAAATTGATGGACATCAAATCAGTGGATGGCTTCCTCTTCACTATGCAATTCAATATGACAATTTTTCTACTTTTTGTATGATGGTTGAAAAGCACTTTGTACTAGATATGGAAATGAAGGTTTATAGTGTTTCCATAAAAAATACAATTGCATAATTAATAGGGCTGTTGGACTGCACTTCATATTGCATCTTGTAGAGGTGTTGTTAAAGTAGTTAATTTTATACTTTGTAAAATATCTTCAATTAAATATGTCAACAAATTGCAGGTATTTATGTTATAATGGTGTATATGTACCTAACCAGTGATTGTTCTTTTTAAGGAGTCAAATAGCACTGCTATGCATCTAGCTGCTAAAAATGGCCACTATGATGTTGTCAAACTTCTATACAAATATGGTGCTGATGCTGTTATGGACTATAAAGATGCAGTTTAGTTTCTGTCTACTTTTTTACTTAACTAATCATTTATATATATATATATATATATATATATATATATATATATATATAGTATGGAATGACTCCATTGAATTACATTGCAGAAGCTCAGTCTTGGGATTTTCTTGATTCTCTGAATGCTGGCAAGGAAAGTAGCCTAATTAATCTCTCTGATGTACTGCAATACTCAAAAGTAATAATTGTAGTTGTCCTGAAAATAACCTTTATTATTATTTTTTATCATAATAATGTAGTATGAGAGTACTGCCATACTGCATGCTGTACATAAAAATGAGGAGCAGGCTGTGAAACGTCTTATTTCAACTGGAGCTGATGTTGACAGTAAAGATAAGGTATATACTTCTCTTATTGGAATTTTAGTTAAAGCTATCTATCTAATTGAGTCCATATTCCATTAGTCTCGCTAGCCAGACCGTTCCCCAGCATATGTTGTAGGATGGGGAATGGTCTGGCTAGCGAGACTAATATTCTATAGTAATTTTAATGTATAGCAACTGTAATATTTGAATAATAATGGAATTATCTTGTACACAGTATACTGGAAGAACACCACTACACATTGCTGCTGCAGACAATAATTTTAAAATGGCCAACTTATTACTCAGTTTTAAAGCCAACCCCAATAGTAAAGACAAAGTTAGTAAGATGTTTAGTATTTACAAACTTATTTGCTAATTTTTTAGTCAGGAGCTCACCCGTTAAATATGAGTTATATGGCTCGTGGTACAGAAGTATATAATTTAATTGAATTAGCAGGTGGAGTATTTAATTTTGTAAGATAAAAAGGTGTAGAAGAGAAGTAATTAATTTTTATTTATAATTTGATAGGGTCATCTGCTTTTAGATACTTCAGATTTAAATGATATTACTCGAATGAAGACATGTTTAGATAATGGTGCTAAAATTGATTATTATGACAAGGTTCTGTAAAAAATATTTTGTGTCTTAAGTGTCTATATTATACATGTACAAAATTGAATGAATATAGATCTACTGTTTATGATTCAGTTACTAGCATAATTATGCCAAGGTATAAAACAGAAGTAGTGGCATGAACAGTGACAGATGCATGCATAAAAGGCTAGTGCTAGATTTTACCACATTTTAAAATCTTTAAGTCAGCTCAAAAATTTTACAAAAATATTAGTACAAATATAAAATGAATAATTCTCTTCTAGCTGGCAATTTTTATGAAATTTGGACCAAGTCATAGTATATTGTATATAGTGCATAGTTTTTGGCTCAAATTCATAAAAAAAATTCAAATTTGAGTGGAATCAGATCAACGTTGATGCACAAAATAAGGACGTAACAGAACTTACAGAAAAAACTATAAATTTGGAGAATGCTCTCCTTTTGTTTTTTGTTGAAATGCACTATACTATAGTACACAGCCTTTGGCCCAATTGTTGAGTAACTTGACAATCCACTGACAAAAAGTTGCATGAGCACTATACCAAGAATCTGTGAAAATTAATCGTGGATGAGAGGTAAACTAAGGGCAACAGAGTATCAAGGCTAAGTGGGATAATAAGGGTAACAGGGCTAACAAGGGTAGCAAATCCTGTTACCTATGTTTGCCTGGGCTACCCTCAGTACCCTTGTTACCACTGTTTCCCCTCTTACTTTTGCCTCTTTTTTATTACCCTTATTATTTCCCAGTCATTATTATACCCGTTTCCCTTTTTACCTTTGGGACCTCTCACCACTGTATGCACGTGGCATATATTTGCTATGTACACTGCTTATTCCCTTTATCCTGTGGTAAAATCGGGCCTTACATGTATCACTGTTCATTATGCTACTGCAGTTCCAATTTTTTAATGTTTCACTAATATACTCATTCCAGAAAGTTTGGGGCAAGTCCTGAAATGTCACTTACCATGTAGCTGGAAATATTTACTGGAGTTTAGTTTTGCTGTTTGCTGTTCATCATTAAAAATGCACAATTTAATTCTGCAAAGCATTATGCGTAATGGGTATATCAACAGTTTTTGCCTACACCAGCAAAATTCGATTCCAAAAACATTAAAATTAGATATATTGGTACAAAATTGCAAAATATAAGGAATAATGATAAAGATTGTAGCTATAATAATAAGTGAACCTTGTTGCCCTGTGACTACTGTTACTGGACAAGTAGGATTAATTCAGTGTGTATACTAGCTCCTATACCTTGCCATTATATAGATGCAGTAGTTTATACTTTTGCCTAAAATATATAATTTTTATATTTAATTTTTTTTTGCAAATTTGACTGTAATACCCAAATGGGCCTTGGAAGTATTAGTGGCTTAGATAAATAAGAAATACTAAAACAACTCATTGCAGTATATTGAAATTATAATGACGATGTATATTCAGTGACCCTTCAACAACTTGCATTTATGTGTTCTAAATATGCTTTATAAATTAGGATAAAAGAACTGCTTTACATTATGCTGTGCTGAATAACCATTTTGATTCCGTTCTCTTTTTGATTGACAATGGCTGTAACATAGACTGTCAAGACAGGGTCTGTAGGATAATTCCATATTACTTACTACTTATAGCTATTTAATTAATGCAGGGTTTATTTACAGCAGTTCATTTTGCAGAAATTAATGGGTATCATAAAATTCTTGAGACTCTGATTAGTAATGATGCTGATTTAAATTTGAAAACTGAGGTTAGTAGCATTTCCTTAATAATGAATCAGATCATTATTATATCAATTTTTATTTCAGCTCAAAGAAAAAACTGCACTTCACTATGCAGTTGAGAGTTCAGATATTAAATCTTTTGAGTTACTTATCAATAGCCAAGAAATTAATGTCAATGAAAAAGACTGGGTATAATTTATTCTGACTTGATTGTGCTGTTCATTTATAATGTAGAAAAGTATGACTCCACTCCATTTTGCTGCTCAGCTTGGATGCGCTGATATGGTTCGAAGGTTACTGGATAAAAATGCTGATGTCAACTGCAGAAATAAGGTATACGTTTTTTGATTGGCTTAATCTATTTCGTCCACTAATTTAACTATATTTAGTTTGATTTAACACCATTGCACTTTGTGTGCAATTCAAAAGATAGCCATAAGGATGTTTTCAAGCTATTGATAGAAGCTGGAGCTGATCCTCATTTGCGAGAGCTAAGGGTTGGTTTAGATATGTAAATGTAAATTTCACATGACACTTTTTAATTTTCAATTACTTTATCTCTGATATTTTTATTGCATCAAATGACAATACATTTCAAGTCACCATTTTACTGCACGTAACAACATCAATAATAATTAAAGATTTTTGTTACTTTTATACATAGTATCCAAACCATACTCCTTTACACAAAGCAGCTATTCGAGGCCATTATGAAATTATTTCAATTATTTTAACTAAAGCAACTAAAGCATTAAAGATAAATGACAGATTTGAGGTACTATAACAGAATTATACAAAAATATGCATCAGAACATAATTCTGTCAACATGAAAATTGACTTTTTTACAGATAGTAATCTGGAAAATCTGGAAACTTCCATTATTTGATAAGATTAGATTGGAGGTATAAGCATACAATTATTGTAGCTATTGAAAGTATAATTACAGTTTTATGAAAGAAAAACTGCTCTGCACCTTGCTGCAGAGAATGGTCATGCCAAAGCTGTTGAAGTTTTATTAGATCACAATGCCAGCATTGATATTGTTGAAAGTGAAGTAAGCAAAGTGTAATAATTTTCATAAAACATTTCTTAATAGAATTTTCAAAGTGCTTTACATCTAGCTGCTGAAAATGGCCACAAAAGTGTTGTCAATGTACTACTTGAAAAAGGAGCTAATCTAAGAATGAAGGATATTGTAAGTCAGTTGAACAAAATATCTTTTCTACTATCATTCAATTTTATAGCATAACATGATTCCATTTCATTATGCCATTAAGTATCACAAGAAAGATAGAGAACTAATTGAGTTGCTGAAAATTGATAAATTCAATTGGGTATGATGAATTAAAACTATAGATTAATTCATTATGCTTGGCTACATGTATATTGCTTCAGCAACATTAATTTTGTTATGCTTATCTGTAGAACATATTTGATAATGAGAAATATGGGGAAATTCATGATGCAGGAGTATGTGGCAGACTTGATTTTAT